GGAAGGGGGCGTGGCCTATCCGGCCCCGCCCCCCGCTGGAAGCGCTGCGATTGGTCAGGGTTATGAGAAAGGGGGCGGGGTTTGTGCTTTGATTGGCCCCGCCCCCCTTTTTTAGGGGCGGGGTTATTGCTGTCAGTCAAAGGTTCCGCGCGGGGGGCGGGGCCATGCGGGAGCAGCCAATGGGAGGCGGCGGAAGGGGCGGGGTCAGGACGGGGCCGCCCCGCCCCCCAGCAGGGGCTGGAGCTCGCGCAGCGCCGCGGGGCCGAGGCGGGGCAGCACCTGGGCGGGAAAAACGGGAAAAATCGGGGAAAATTGGGAAAAAACCCGGGAATTCCACCCAAAACCGGCCTGGGGAACGCGGAGCCAGCCGGGATTTACCCGAAATCCCAGCAAAAAAACCCAAAATCTGAGCAAAAATGACCCAAACTTAGGAAAAAATCCACCCAAAATCTGCGAAAATTCACCCAAAATCCGACCCAAAGCCTCAAATGGACGCAAATCAACCCCAAAATCTGCCAAAATGAACCAGGAATCTGCAAAATTAACCCAAAATGGGACGGATTAACCCCGAATTGGACGAAATTAACCCAAAATCTGTGAAAATTTGCTCAAAATCTGACCCAAAAAAGCCCAAACTGGACACAAATCACCCCAAAATCTGCCAGAATTAACCCCGAATTTCACAAAATTAACACAATATCCACAAAAATCAGCCCAAAAGCCGTGAAAATTAACCCAAATTAGAGAAAATTCACCCCAAATCGACACAAATCACCCCCAAATCCGACAAAATTGCCCAAAAATCTGCCAAAATTAACCCCAAACCTGACAAAATCAGCCACAATCAGCCCAAAACGACAGAAACAGCCCCAAAATGAACCTCAGGACACCCAAACCCACCCTGGGACCCCTCAGTCCCTCCCCAGACCCCTCCAGGACCCCCCAAATTCCCCCAATTTCCACCAGGATGCCCAAATTTCTCCCCAGTTTTCCCCAAATTCCTCAGAAACCCCCAAATTCCCCCCGATTTCTCCCAAATTCCCCCCGATTTTCCCCAAATTTCCCCTCAGGATGCCCCAATTCCCCCCC